CCTCTCTGCAAACACAGGTAGCCACGGGGCTGAAACTAGGGATACTGGGAAGAAATGGGAAGCACTGGGGGGAACTGGGAGGGACTGGGAAGGATGGAGAGGACCTGGGAGGGATTGGGAGCAGCCTCTCTGCAAACACAGGCAGCCACGGGGCTGAAACTAGGGATACTGGGAAGAAATGGGAAGCACTGGGGGGAACTGGGAGGAACTGGAAGGGGACTGGGAGCAGCTGGGAAGGATGGAGAAGACCTGGGAGGGACTGGGAGCAGACTCTCTGCAAACACAGGCAGCCACGGGGCTGAAACTAGGGATACTGGGAAGAAATGGGAAGCACTGTGGGGAACTGGGAGGGACTGAGGTAACTGGGAGCAGCCTCAGCCAATGCAGGCAGCGACGGGACTAAAACTGGGGATACTGGGACTTGAGGGCACTGGGAAGATCCCAGTACTGGCCCCTCCCACCCAAGCTGGGGACCCAGGCGTCCGGGCACCTCCACTTCGCACACCGCAACGCAGACCGCAACCCCTTCCCAGTCCGTACTGGGAACTCCCCAGTTCATACTGGGAGCCCACAGCCACTTCCTAGTTTGGACTGGAAGCTGTAATCCCTTCCCAGTCCGCGCTGGCCGCCCTTATCCCTTTCCAGTATGGACTGCGCACCCCTTATCCTTCCCCAGTCTACACGGGGAGATGCCCAGTTCATACTGGGAGCCCCATTTCCCCCTTCCCAGTCCAAACCAAACCGCCGCAACCCTCCCCAGTCCGTGCTGGCAGCCCCCAACCCCTTCCCAGTCCATACTGGGACCCTCCCAGACGACAGTGGTGGGCGTCAGGTTTATTCACGTCTTCGGCACCTCACGGATCCCCGGACGCCTGCGTCCCCCCCGCAGGAGACGGGGAGGGGGGGGCAATAAATAAGGAGCGGGGTGAGAAGGCACCCGGGGTGGGGGAGCAAGAACTGGGTTGCAGTGGTCCATACTGGGAGAACCCGTATATGCATTAAGATCCCAGTCAGGGCGCCCTACCGGTCCATACTGGTCCGTACTGGGAGAACGCAAGGCCACACGGGTGAAGAGATCCCGGGCAAGATGCTGTACAGGTCCATACTGGTCCATACTGGGAGGACACAAGGCCACACGGGTGAAGAGATCCCGGGCAAGATGCTGTACTGGTGCATGCTGGTCTGTACTGGGAGGACGCAAGGCCACGCCGGTGAAGAGCTCCCAGTTGGGCTGCCGTACTGGTCCATACTGGTCCGTGCTGGGATGGCTGAAGGCCATGTCAACGCAGTGATCCCAGTTGGGATGCTGTACTGGTCCGTCCCACTCCGACCCAAGGCGATGCATACGCGGGGCTCCCAGTTGGGCTCCCAGACCCTTCACTGGTCCATACTGGTCTGGCCCAAGGCAACGCAAATCCAAGAGTTCCTAGCTAGGACGTCGTAGTGCTTCATACTGGTCTATACTGGGATGCCCCCAAGGTGCCGTAAAACCCCAAGGGGGAGACACCGGGCTGTACTGGTCCATACTGGGGTGTCTCCAGACCCCCTGTGGGGATCTATGGGCGTCCGGGGGGGGTCCATATGTCCCCGGGGGGGGGGCTGTGGGGCCCCAGCTGGTACCTATAGGGGTCCCCGAGGGGGATCTCCACGGTCCCTATATTGACCTATAGGTCCCCGGGGGTGTCCCACGCTGGCCTATAGGTCCCCGTGCCGACCTATAGGATATTTACGGGGTGCCTAGGGTGCTCTACAGGTCCCCAAAAAAGGACCTACGGGTCCCCAGGGGGGTCTCTACGCTGCCCTGTAGGTCCCCACGTTGACCTAGGAGCCCCCCCCAGTAGCCTACTGGTCCCCGAAGAGGACCTATACGTCTCCCACGATGTCTATGGGGTCCCCACGGTGACCTATAGGTCCCTTGCAGCGTCCTGGGGGTCCCCGCGTTATCCTACGGCCCCCCCCAGTGACCCAGGGGGGTCCCCAAAGAAGACCCACGGGGATCCAAAGCCCCCCGGGTCCCCACGCTGACTTAGGGCTTCCCCGTGATGCCCTGGGGGTCCCCAAAAAAAGGACGGGTCCCCCCTGTGGCGCCCGTGGGGGTCCCCCACGTCCCCCTGGGTCACCCCTAGCCCCCCTTCCCCGACACCCCTAGCCCGTGGGGGGCCCTCCCGGGGGTGCCCCCCCCCAACCTTCCAGGTAACGAGCGAAAAGCCCCTTGGCGCGGCGCAGGACGCGGGGCAGGTGGTGCCGTCGCACCAGGCGGTCGAAATGCATGGCCACCTCGTTGTAATCCCCGGCCCGCGCCATGACGGCTTCCCGTTGTTCCAGCAGCATGGCCAAGCAGAGGAAGAGGAGGAAGGGGTTCCCCTGCCCCAATTCCTCCGGCGGCGGTAGCGGCGCCCCGTCGTCCTCCAGACCCACCTCTTCCTCCGAGGACGAGGAGGAGGAGGCGGAGGAGGAGGAAGAGGAACACGAGTCCTCCCAGGCCCAACCGCCCCCCCAAGGGTCCTCGGGGGCGTCAGCAGCCTCTCTGCCCGCGCGGGGGTCATCACGTACCTCGCCGGGGTCTTCACCAACCTCTCTCGGGGAGCTGGGGGCGTTGCCAACCTCTTTGGGAGCGTCACCAACTTCTTTGGGGACCTCGGGGTCTTTCCCGGTCTCTTTGGGGTCTTTCCCGGTCTCTTTGGGCACATCGGGGTCTTGCCCAACCCTCTTGGAAACTCGGCGACTGTGGTCGTCACCGACCTTTTCCGGGGCGTTCAGGTTTTCACTTGACTTCTTAGAGACGTTCCGAGTTTCGCGAGTCTTCTTGAAGACGCTGGGCTCAGCGCCGACGTTGGCGTCTTTGCCGGGTTTCCTGAAGACGTCGGGGTCTCCGCGAACCACCTTGTAGACGTCGGGTTGTTCGCCGATTTCCTTCAGAGCGCTGGCATTTTCGTTGACCTCCTTGGGAACATCAGGGTCTCGGTCAACCTCTTTAGACGCATCAGGGTCTTCTTGGACGTCCTTGGGGCCAGCAGGGTCTCGGCCACCATCGCTGGAGACTTTGGGATCCTCTCGGATACCCCTGGGGACCTTAGCACCACCTTGGACCTCCACAGAGGCCTTAAGGCCACCCTGGCTATCCCTGGGGACCTTGGCATCCCGGGAGACCTTCGGATCCTCTTGGTCATTCCGGGAGCCGTCCAGACTAGGTTGGACGTCCCCAGAGACCTCAGGCTTCTCGTGGTCGCTCCCAGAGGTCTTGGAGCCACCCTGGACATCGGTGGAACTCTCGAGACCCTCTTGGTCATCCCTAAAACTCTTGGGACCCTCCTGGATGTTCCCGGAGCTCTCAGAACCCTCTTGGATGTCGCTGGAGCTCTTTGGTTTCTCCGGGTCTTTGCCGGGAGCCTCTGGGACGTCCACGGAGGCTTTGGAACCCACTTGGACGTCGCCGCCGGAGCTCCTGGGACTCTCCTGGCCGTCCCCGCGGGCCTCGTGCCCGCCTCGGCCGCCAGCCGCCTCCGCGGGGGCCTCGCTCTCCCCCCGCTGC